GCAAGTAGCTAGCACTAGCTCCAAAGGTCGCCAAGATGACATCATGCGCTAATCTGCATATTGGGGAGGTCTTTGCACATTACTTTACATAAAGCTTAGTGGTTGTGTCAGGTGCAGTGAGAGAGAGACTGCCAGAGCACAGAACAAGAGGAGAGGGAGAGACTCTATGCTGTTGGTAGAAGAGCTGTGAACTTAGATTACTCTGAGCTGCATTGGTAATGAACATAATATATTTCAATATATTTCTGGATTTCTCCCTGATGGTCTGAATGAGTCGCTGGATTTGTCGCTAGTCGTTTTTTTACAAATAGTCGCTGAAGTCGCTAAATCTAGTGAGAAAGTCGCCTGTGTTGTTGGCAGTTGCTAAGAAAATAATCTGGTTGTCTTTCCGACAGCGGAGTCAAAAATATTACCAATTGGAAACGCTAGCGGGGGAAAATTTAAAACTTGTTTATTGCCACTTTAATTTGTCTTATTTTGTTTATTTGAAGTCGGAAATGTGTGCACATGTAAAGGGCGTGTGGTTTGTATTAACATGCAGCATGGCCATAATTCGGAGCAGCTTGTCCTCATTAGGACTTAGCAGTCCCTACCACTGAAGCGCCTTACTCTGAGGGCAGCTTAGCCCTTTCATCCCCATTTTGATATGGACCTCAGCCCTGTCTCTCGAGTACGAGGGACTGTGGCAGTTATGGTGATGGCAGAGCCGCCCAAATCCTGGGACCTCTGGTAACCTTCAACATAAGCTCGGTGACACGAGGTTAGCTGCCTGCTGCGCCAACATCCAAAGGTTACCGTCGCTCACTCTCTCCAAATTCCACCCTCCACTATGCTAGATCCACATTAGGATTAGCATGCCCATTTGCTACATTTCAATCAATGCAACAGACAGGGTTCTGGGCAGAACACCCTGGTTTCTCCCACACAAGCAGTTGCATGAGGTGGGAAGATTGAACAACCAGAGACAGACAGGGTTAAACCTTAGAAGGGATCAGCCAAATGCTGAGCTCTTGTGTTAAGATTGTTCACTTGAACCAAGACCTTGAGTTCCTTTAGCTTCTCCTTACAGATATTGCAGTTTCATCCCCACATCAGGATCAGAGATCATACGGTAAGGAGCCACCAGATGCTGTTCACCTTATTCATGGTTTGCTGCGATAAGCTCTTGGACGTGTTGTGACTGTCAACTGTAAAGTGCCATTCTTGTGGCACTCACATTAGCTATACCCTGCAGCTTCCCAACTTATGGGTGTACACTTTTGCAAAGACCCTGTGTTGTGTTTTCTGAGGTATGTACACAGATTCATGGTGACCCTGTTCCAATGCGTCTACCATTGTTACGTCTCTAGTGGTCGAGCAACGGATGAAACAAACCCTGTTAAAGAAGAATTGTGTTTTATCCCTTATCTTCAAATTTTGGCCACCAGTTTTTGTTATCAGTAACAAAATATTATATCTGCCAAGTTAAAGTTTTGGTAACAATTACAAATACAGATATTAAACAAAATTACTGTTTTTGGAAGGAAATAAAGCATATCCATTCCGGGCATAATTTAAATGAATCAATATCTGCTAAAAAAACGGATCCACTTCAACCTGCTGCTGTTGCAGAGCTGCTCTCCTTAACGACAGCCAGGCTCTACACTGCAAGCATTCCAGTGCATATGAGTATGAAAATTAGAGTGTGTGAAAGGAAGAAAATGATTTGGTTGCACCAGTGATTGACACCGAGGCTCCCAAAATCCCCTCGGCTCAAATGGTAACAAATCTATCATCTCTCCTCAGTCCCTCTAATAGGAAAGATTACAATACAAGAAATTCAGGTAGCAGCCTTTCATTTTTAGCTGGTGCTTTAACAGGCTCAAATGACAAACATCGCCCGCAGCAGGTCATGTCAACTGTCGCTTATTAACGTTAATTCTGTGAGTAGTTTGATGGTTTGTGTGCTCTCTGCGAGTTGCTGTCTGCACTCAGCCAAAGATTGTTCTTAAGATAAAAGAGGCATCACGCTGTAACACCACTGTACAATTGCAGTTGATGGTTTTTGCAGTCCAAACCACTTCAATAGAGTAATATGTCCTCTGTCTAGCCGATTATGTCATATCAATTTCAGGAGTTGCATTATTTCAGTTAAACGTATATCGGCGACACAGACAGCAACATCACAGCCACAAACACACGTGTAGACATGCTGTCGGGGTGGAAGTTCTTCAGCGTGCGTGAAGACATAATAAAGCTCGCAATTTGTCTGTCCAAAATAAGCCGTGTAGGAAAAACCTTTAAAACACAACCTCTTCGCCCATTTTTAGATTAGCCAGGAGTTCGGCTTTGTTGTCACTGCTAACATGGCGAGGGCCAAAGCTTCACAACGGCTCTTCAGAAACCGATGGGTGACAGTCACAGACACAACATCCATATTTCATACAGTCTATGATTATAACGCTATCATGATGTGTTCAAACTATCGTAAACAACAGGCCGCACAACTGTCAATGGCTGTGAAAGCTGCTAGGGATGCACCGATAATGATACCATTATCGGATATCAGGCTGATACTGACTCAAAGAGCTGGATTGGACAAATGAGGCCAATCTATTCAATTCAATCCTATGTTTAAACATTGTATACTGGATACTTTTAACACATTGCTGGAGTGTAATTTACTACTGTAATTATAAATAAGAATTAAGTACATGTATATCTAGGTATGTATTTGTTACACTGTGTTTTACAAAGTTATGAAAGCAATGTTTAAGTCGAGTCTGATGTCTTCTTACTTATGAAAGAATGATCCCACTTCCACACAGTGAGGCATACAGCTTATTAAGAACACATTGCTATTGGATTGGTACTCTGTATGGGCCGATTCACAAAGCAAAAGTATTATATCGGGACTGAAAAAGTATCATCCCAATATTTGGCATGCGTATGATAAAACAAATCTGCGGCACACCTTTTGTTATTGTGCCATTGGATGAGCTGCCACATGCCACCAAGGTCGCCTACCTCTGATATCTAGTGGATCAACAACAAACGATAGATGTACAATGAATCTACAGCCGTAGCTTTGTGCACAGATAGTTTTGCTTTGCAATTGGGAATAATGTCAGCATTTTGTGTGGGCTCTATTTGAATTTACCTTCCAAATAAAGTGGTTTAGATAATCTGTCCAAACTCTCATCTTTTTTACAAAGTGTCTGCATTGCAGCTATATGGATTGATTCCAAGATCTCAGATTTGGTCAGTAAAATGTTATCATAACCAAAAAGAAAGGTCAACGCTGCAAAAATAATACCCAAGTCGTACTAAACCAGAAATATTATTTTAGGAGGAAACTGTTGTGTGATCCTAGATGACCAACATGTTTATCCATCTTTGAGTTTGTCCAGACCTTTGTTATTGTGTAGGGGGGCAACAGCACTCAAACTCAGCTGATACCATTCAAATTATATATTCAACCCGTCAGTCGGTGCAGAAGATAGAAAGTAATTTGGTGCTTCACAAAGGCTCTGACGTTCATCCAGGATTCAAAGAATCCATCTGTTAAATCTGGAAAGACTAGAATTGCAAAAAAACTTATTTAGTGAGACAGCACAGACAGATGCAACATAGCTTAAGGGAAACTATATAGCAGGAGCTAATGAAGGGAAACCGTGAGAACCATCTTCTCTGCTAGGGGAGAAATTATGTGGATGGTGAAGACAGGGTGAAAAATGCAGAGGGATGAGCGATAGAGGATACATTGAGAGAAGCAATTAGTGTCCGCTAATTGCTCTCATTAGAAGAGATGGGGCCGATTTTGCAGACTCCATGTTGGACGGTGACAATTCAAACGTATAAATGTGGACTGCTTGGGCATGTGGTTTAAAAGCCGTTCAGCAAACAGTGGTACCTCTCAGACTGATAGCAGCAGAACTGATAAGACCAGACCATATCATCAAAACTTTACTCTATCATCTTTCCCGTGATAAAAACAAAAAAACGTAGAAATGAAAGTAAAGATGGATCGATAAAGCGATAAAGGTCTTATACAGCTGGAGAAAAGATGAAAAAAGTAAAAAGACAAGATAGATAAAAGAGTTGAAGCAAGGGGGAAAGACAAACACTTTCCACAACACCTCTCTAAGTAATAAGTTTAATTTATTTGGGAAATTAATGTGTCTTGGCATAGTTATATAAAGCCACGTCGGCACGAAGAGCACAATAATATAGTCCAACTGATGTGATCCAAGTTTCCTGTGTGAAATCAAATATCCGCCCAGCCTGAAAAGTTTATGGCAGCTTTAGCCACTCTATTCTTCATCTCGTAATCAGGTTAGTATTGACTAAACACCTATGAAAAGATACCACTCTGGGTGTTTAATGATAGCAGCCGCTTTCTTTGAGAAAACACTTAGCGGAGAGTGCTCCTGAGAAACTGAGGCCATCTGAATGAGTGAAATGAGACCACAGAGACAGAAAGCGGGGAGAAAAATATAAAAAAAACACAGCAGATTTTTTAGATTATTGTGACCCTCACATAAAAGTTTTTTTCAGAATGTGCGTTACTATTAACCAAGCAGACATCTTATTTATCACAGGGTGGGCCAAACCACAGCGTAGTATAAAAGAGCACATTAATGCTAAAGCACTTCTCACTGCAGGATGAAGAAAAATAAAAACATTGTGGTGTCTGTGTGATAGAGTGCCGCTGTGCAGTAGGGCATATGCAGACTGAAAGAAGATGTAATTAACAAGAATAATATATTTTGCCTCCTCCGACTGTGAGCAGGGCAAGCTGTGATATCTGCTCTGCCCTAAAACAGCGCAATCATGTCTCATTTTCTGCTGAATCCCTGATTGGGTCAAAGGCGGGGAATTGCGATAAAGCTCTCGCTCTCCTAATGAGTACCAGGTGACTGCAGGAGCTAAAGTTCCTACTCTACTGGCTTAACTTCTACACCTGCTTCCTACTCATATGGACTCTCAAATAAGTTAAGCAATCAAAATAACCTCCCTACCTCTCAATGATGTCAGCGATGACACAGGCAAACATCTGGAGGCCCTCTGGAAGCTGCAGAGCCACTGGAGAGAGCGGGAAAAAAGGCAAACAGAGAGTTACATACTTCTGTTGGAGTGACAGCAACATGTTATTTAATAAATCCTGGACAGCACAGTTATTCATATCTTCTGCTACTGGTTCAGAGTACTTCACTGACAGCAAATAGTGACATTTCAGGGTAATTTCCCCTCTGCCACAGCGTTGGGTTTATTTCAGCAGGTGCCGGGCGGTTGGAAATATATTCCAAACCAATAACCACAGGTCTATCTCTTCAGCTCATGGCTTGTACGAAACCTTTGAACTCTCTCTTTTTCATATCTGTCTCCATGCCTGCCACTGGCTCTGGGTCACACTTTTACTCTCTTTGCCACTGAACCCCCCCACCAACTTCACACAAGATAGATATATTTTAATGTGGAAAAATTGATGGGGCTGCTATAAAAATTTAAATTAAGCAACCAATTAACCATTGGTCCTGCTGATGGTGTTGAGTGCTGACAACAGGAAACCTATTGATCTACTCATCTGTGACACCAACTGAGATGAACCAATGGAAAAACCTTGTTTAGGGCAGGATTTATTAAGTGGTTTGTGCCTCGTTTCAGACTCACTCTGCATGGGGAGACATGCATGTTTTTTTTTAATCAAACAGGCAGAAGGGCCTGGAAGCATCTCAACTGCAATCTGTGAAATGCGGCCCTTTCCTTTGAGCATATTCCTTTAAAGATAAATTATGCAAATGGTGACTGGAGATGTCATGTGAGATCGCTGGATTTGCAGCTAAATACTGGGATCAGTATTGCATGAAAGATGCTCGCCTTCTAAAAAGTAGTTGCAGGTATATTGAAGGAAGGTTGCAGTGGGCAAAGGAATGTGTTTCCCAAGGAACTCTTAATTAAGAGTCCTTTGATTGATCGGCCACTGATCATTATCAGCCAATATTAATTGTAAATAGTTTGATTGATAGTCAATATAAGAGCCAATCAGACCATGCGATCAGATGACTCAAAATATGCGAGACAATTTGTCTACATGCAGCTAAAATGGCTTCTCTGCGGATGTGAGTTGTGTCTCGAAAGCCCTTTTTACACAGCCTGTTCAAATCGGGACTGTTGCGCCGTTATTCCACCCTGCTGCTCTGTACGAAAGGTAGGGACACGAATGGTGGGGGCATTGCTGCTCCGACGCTAAGCCGTGAGTGGAGGTAGTCACAGAGAAAATATCCACATCTGTATAAAAAGGGACAGTTGGCATGGTGGGGGTGAATGCACACTAGACATTGACGCTGTTGTGTTTCAAGTCAAGCCTGGCATGCAATCTAAAATTGCAATTTATGCAGCATTATGCCGGCTTGGTTTGGTTGAGTGTAAAAAAGCAAAGCCGGTGTAATGAGGGGCCATTTTATTAACAGCAGTACTGCGAAATCTGCGTATAAAAAGGGGCTATGAGAGAAAGTGTCTCCAAGAGAGAGTGGAATATTTTGCTCATGTTGCATGCCAATAAATGAATGATACTTTCTCTGCTTTTAATTTACATATATGTAGTAAAATAAATAAATAAATAATCGTACACGATAAATAGAGGGATTCAGAGAGACCCCATGATCGGTGAATTATATCAGCCGATACAGCTTCCAGCGTTCGGTGAACAACCACAAAAAAATGTGTGTCATTTGTATTTATTTTTAGCTTTGGCTCAATGGTGACATGTGTACTTATTGGGGCTGGAGTATCTGCTGGACCTTATGGATCAGCCACCTCTCCTATGGTAGTGTGTTAACCTTTGTGAAATGATTAAAAAATATATATATTTGAATTCAAAGAAGATGAAAATCTAAATGGCCTTTGGGAATTTCTTAAGCAAGATGTCTTGTGTTTATTGCATCAAGGATCTTATATTCGGTGGTAAAGAATTTAGCACACATAAATAGGATCATCAAATACAATTGACAACACATTCGTATCAGAGAGTAATACGATATTGATCTTGTCAAGTAGCCTCGCAAAGTAACAGAACAGGAATCAGTGCATGAAGTGGATGAGAAGGAAAAGACAAGAGTGACCGAGAGGAGAATAATGAGGAATGCAAATATGGTGTGGTGACATGGCACACTTCCTCACACTACTACTACTACAAACAATAACAATAAACTTTAACCCTTTCACAATGTGTTTTCAGTGGGTGAAAGTTAATTGTAACAGTTTTGGTTGCTCCACACTTTTGTGTCACCTCTGGTTGCAAAGAAAACAAGATGGTGACGGCCAAAATACCGAACTTGAGGCTTCAAAGTGGAAGTTCACGCACCAAAGGGTGACGTCACGGTCTAATACAAAGTCTATGGCCTGTAGGAGGAGAGCTAGTTAGCGGTTGGCTAACAGAGGTAACAGCTAATGGGGCTAATAATAAAGCTAACAGAACTAAACACAAAGCTGAACTGACAGAGGACAGGTAGAGGAAGTCTATAATCAGTCAATATGATGTGTTACACAGTGAACGGCAGTTAAGCTGCATGGTGCCGGAGCAGACAACTGCATAGATTAAAATGAGAGCGTATTTATTGCATGAGACGTGCGAGTGAAAAACGCTTCTGATACACTTGTGGTCTCGATGGGGGGTAATTGTGGTTTGTACTAATTCAATACAACATTAAAGCAGTGGTCGTTGCAGACACACTTGGCAGAGATCTGTGTGCTACAGAGTGCACTTTCCCAGTTGATTGTTTATAAAATAATCATAAAATGGTGAAATATTATTTCCCAGAAGCCCATCTAACACATTTAAAGTGTTTATGTGTTCAAGTGTTTGTTTCCAAAGATCTTGGCAACAAGGGATTCCTTTCAAACATACATTTAACATTTTTTATTTTTAAAGGAGTTTGTGGTTTTCAACTAGAATGAATCTTTAGCTCATTGTTACTATAATGTGATTTTGTCTGTTTGCGATGTAAAATACAGGGGTTGTGCTTTGGGATTACATTACATGTATCATTCCGGTCAACAACTCTCTTTTTGCCATCGACCCTTTTGAGAAGCAGGAATTTACCTTACATGTAGCTAGATTTGATATGATCATAAACATGCATTCATAAGGTATCGACCAGTTCAGTATGACGTCCCAGCTACCATGGCAGCTACATTGAGTGAGCGCCACAGAGACAAAGGCTTTGTTTCAATCAACCATGATATTTTCTCCCAGTCAAACTCTACCGCACCTCACTTCAATAAATCCATCAATGTCTCAGTGGACACTTACAACTCGAAGACACCGAATTCAGCGCAGCGTTTTCACATGACTAGGCCTGAAACAATTTCAACACTTCGTGGGCCAGACGGCATTAAACAATATAAAAGCCGGGACAGACAAAAAGGTCAAGGAGGTTGAGGGTGGATGGCCATGAGATGGAGTGATAGATGTGGCAGTGTGAGAAGGAGGAGCGAAAGCAATTCTTACTGATGAAAGGTTAAGGGATCACAAAGCACTCATGCAGACAGTGAGAGACAGGTAATTACCTAGAAAATGGCAAGTTTATTAACAGAGAAAGGTTTCAGAGCACACCTCTGCCACAGCTGACAGAGGCAAAGAGCTTTCTCTCCATCTGCTGCCCCTGGCGAAAGGTGAGTTAGACGCTGGAGGTGGGACCGGCTGTTTGAATGCATGTTTGAGTTTTCACGCAAGAATGATGAGCTGCTTCTACCTTTTGGAAGTGCACTCCTGCCCCTACAAATCAGAGAACCTAAACCACACGGACGTGAAACGGGACAAGAGGGATTCATTTGGAGGCTTCAGATGTCACATGTTTATACAGTTCAACAACTCCAAGAAACAAGTGTGGAAGGTTTCTTATTCTTGGACACGTTATGTATTGTGGATCACTACATGTACAGACATGCAGCTTTCTCAATGTGCAGTGACAAAAGGCTGACATGAACTGTCAATCCCCGATCATCTAATGATGCCGTTGTATGCAAACCTATTGTTTTAACGCTCCAGGCAGTACAGGTTGCAAGGAAGCTACATGTGGGATTACGTTAACTATCACAGACTGGAGGTAAACTTAAAAAGCACTGGAAAGGCCAATTTATCAGTGAACGGCAGACTGAACGGACAAAGCCAAGGGATTACTCAGAATTTCCAAAAGGGGGGTTATGACTAGGAAGATTGGGATAGGGATATATACAGGGTTTATCCTGCAGTAGATTACTTCTGTCTCTCTCGGGCCTCTGTAAATAATATTATTAAGAGTACAGTCTAGACTTGCTCTATATAAAAAGTGCCTTGAGATAACTTCTGTTATGATGTGAGCACTATATAAATAAACTTATTTTGACTCGTGGGTGTGTATGCAGATGGTAATGCATCTCAGTCCTCTGTGTCACTATGTATGTTATGGAACTTCAACATGGCCAATATTAGAAAAAGGGGACATAATGAAATAAGGAATCAGGTTTATTAGGAACACACAGCTCCAACTAATAAAGTCTAATACAACAGTGCTGCAATAAATCAGACATTCGGTAGGGTTATAATTTCTGTTGAAATTATTCAAGAAATGTGTTGATTCAACTTTATGTTAATTCTGGAGTCCACACAGTTTGCAGTGATATTGTGTTGTATTGCATTATGTATGCACTATTTAGTCTAACATTATATATATATATATATATATATATATATATATATAAATAAATGAACAAATACATTCTGAAATGACTCAATAACCTTTCCAAATTATCATACATTTTCATTTTGGAATTGTCTATAGTTGGAAAGTCTTCACAGTTTGTGTTTGCACACGTAAACGTGACTTCACATCTGAATTAGGAGTGAATGGAAGTCACCTGCATGTCGACTCGAATTTGGGCACAATAGACACAATTCTGCTAGGATATGTCATTGTGTGTAAAAATGTAGTGGTAATGAGACTCTATTCAGTATCTGTAGACACTACCGACTGTGATCTGCTTTAACTTAACACTGGCAGCCAACGCTCTGTCTTCTGTCATCTCTGCAAAGGAACAAGCTGTTCAGACAGAGCAGAAAAGGACATTTTGGACTGCTCACTGGGGAGTCAATTTGTATTAAGGGATGAATAAAAACAGTAGTTCTGTTACTGAGGGACGCACAAAGACACTATTCAGAGAGGGACCATTATGTAATGGGAAGAAAAAGCAAATCACCAGCCACTTGTTTGCCTCGGTTTAGCGGGGTGGGCCATCTGTGGCTTAGCTGGATGAGTAAGTAACATTGGCATTGAGGCAATGCTCAAATCAAAATTGAATTTAGGATTCTAAATATGTTGCCATTACAATATCACTATCATTACAACGTTTCTCTTATTTCCCCACACCCTACCCTCTCATAAAGGTTACTGTAACATGGAAACTAAAAGGAGGAACTAAATGCTCTACATGTTGCTTGCTGTCTTGAAACTCAAGGAAACATCTGAAGATAAACTGTCAGCTGTGCTGATCGTTTGATTGTCTGTAGTTAAGTTGTGAGAAGACCTTGGAAAACAGAACAACTCCCCGGGCATTTCACAATCCCTGCAGGGGAACACTTTCATGAATTCAAGGTCGCCCAAGACACTCAAGACCGAACTGCTTTTTGCTTCTTGTCTAATTATTCTGTTTTTCTAAGTAAGATTTACCAGTTGAGTGCAAGGCTGACTAAAAACTAAACACAGAGGATCAAAGATTTTTACCTGGAGGAAACACATGGTAATTTCCATTAGAGCCGACTGATGAATCAGCTGGTATATCTTGGACATTGTTTTCAAACACATTTAAGCGATCCTAAGAAAAAAGATTCAACACCAAGGGTAAATGTCATTACCTGGAAACACATATGATAGTTTTGATGTAATGAACACAAACCTGGGCTGGAAAGTGCAAATCTACTTGTTTCTACCAAACTTCTGTCTTTTCCAAAAAAAAAGGTGAGCCCTGATTTCAAACAAATACACTGCTTCCAACGTATTTGTGAATGGCTAACATGAAGAACCTCCATCCTGGTCTGAATTCCTTTTCCAAGCATCACTCAAACAATTGCTTCTCTATAAACAAAACATTAGACTCAATCCAGCTAGTTATTATTAACTGAATGTGCGACGTTTATCAAGACAGCAGTTAAAACAACTCTGAACAACCAAGCTGCTCATGTAAAGAGCGGTGATGTGCAACAGATTATATCAAAACACACAATTAGACTAAAATGAGAAAACTAGGCAAAGCAACACAAAGCGTGTGACTATTTATGAACTCTGAAAAAAAAGCTGAAATATAATGAGTCCTCTATTTCAAAAGCACAGTGTATGGCACTCAAGAGGAGTTGAAAGACAAAGAAACAGATGGACACAAAGAGGAACTGAGAGACACCGGGGTGATAGGTGAGTTATGCTCTCTGAGAGAGAGAGAGAGAGAGAGAGAGAGAGCTCTGATACAAAAAAACAAAAGGTCACACAACAAAAAAAGCAGAGCCAGCAAGCTGCGGTAAAGCGCACGCTTCCCACAGGGATATTTGAAAAATGATTCAATCCTCTTGGTATGCCATCTGCATATTTTCAGCCAAGGAGATTGAAGGACTATGTATTTTTACATTTACATTACTGAAGGACGATTTTTTTTCCCTCAAGCTCCTCAGCAAAAATTAGGCGAAGGTAAATTATTACGTCATCATCACATGCTGTGCTGTTATCTTGTGAAGTGTCGTTTTTGACAAGAAACTTGATTAAATACAGTTGTTTGAAGGTGATGTTTTCACAGCAATATAAAAAATAAGATATTAGAGAGAGAATTAAGACCTGTTGAATTAGGTTTTTAACACACCGATATATATTTAAAACAATGTATTATTATCGTTAAATATTACAAAAATCTGTTTTAGAGCAGCACAAAAAATGATTCGCCTGTTGCCATAGACCACATAATACAGTAGCAGTCGATGTCAGTGAAGACAGTGAAGCCTCCCACTGTGCCCTCAGTTGGTCCTGAGGCTACAGTCCTACTGTAGGCCTTGCTACTCAATTCAGATTTTTGCTCAGATCTTATTATTCTGTTTGACAACACTATTTTTTGTAACCTATATCTTGCATCAGTTTAAATGACCTCCATCCTGAAATAACACCAACAAACAAAGGACATGAAGTCTGAACAGTCTGAACAGAGAGGCAACTGAAATTGCTGCCCAGTTTTATAGTTGACAAACAGAAATGTTTGTTGTTTATGAGGCCAAGTTCTGCTTTCAGTATGGGTCAAAAATACATTAAAAAACATTGAATGGCAGTCACTGTGGGATGACCTACATGGCGTTTTGGAAACCGGGCCTGTTTTTGATTTGTTATAACACTGGATAAACCTGTGTGAACCTCGCAGGTTACAGATTGTACAATAAAGTCGTCAAAAGTAGGTCACAGCACAGATGCACCGATGGATGGCATTTTGAATGAATGCTTGCACGCGTGTTTTTGTATGAGATGCACAACGCGACGTGCATCCCGTGTGCTCATCATACATTAACTCTTTAACCTGAAAAGTAGCTGTAAATGAGGTGTGAGTATTATATTCTTATTATGTATATATTTTTGAATCAAGATGAGGAAGGGTATGGTGGCACAGTGTAATGGTTGTCAGTGTCAGGTTTTGGGACAGAGATCTCATTTCATAAAGCATAATTTGTGCTCCATCTCTGCTAATATGACTATAAATTAGGGCTATTCATTTTATATGTACAGGCTCTGTAAAGACTGTATTCATTGCAACCTTTACCTCCAAGTAACTTAAACCAGCATACGCTCCAATTCAGCTAATGCAATTCATTTTTAGAAATCAGTTGTGCAATTTATGCCGTGGTTAGACTTCACTTGCGAGCATTAGCATATTGCACAATGCATAGTTGGCTTTTCTTAAGCGAGGACCACCCAGACCCTATTTCACCATTGCAATGAAGCTTATTCTACAATTGCTCTTCCCATTTGAAATCTTGCATGCTCCACCCAAATTGAATCAAGTGTATGAAGAAAGAACCGAGCTCACCTCTCGTAGCTTTCGCTTGTCTCACTCGCCAAATCGTCTTGTGGATCTCAAAGTTGTAATTTGCAGGCAAGGCTTTGATCGCCTCCTGTAACTCAGGGTCTTGCAGGATTTCGTCTGGAATTTGATTGGCTACCCGCCGTGGTCCTCGGACTGAGGAGAGAGTTAAATGATTGAGCTGTCAGCAGTGCGGCGAACAGAAGATTCAAGCATATCCATCAGACCTAACAGAGACCATCACGCAAGGATCAGAGTCAAACAATAACGTCAAAGCTGAATCAGTGTAGTTATTCAGCAGGAGCAGTCAGTATAGTTCATGCTTTGAAACAGCCAGGGGGGGGGCGGGTAATACAGTTCAGGAAAGTTGTCCAAATGTGTCTCTGATCTACAGGATCAAGGCACCTTTTAAGAGGGAGAGAGCGATGGAAGAGTAGAGCACCACAAATTTGTCAATTTAGAATCTTAATTGTTTTCTACAAGCTACAAGAAAAACTGTTGTGGCAGGAATGACGAGAAGAGACGTGGAATTGGAGTTGCAACCCAGCAGGAAGTGTTTTAATGAGCACAACATACAACAAATCCAAAGTATTAGTTCTTACAGCTTACTCTTATAGTCTAAATTCAGTCCCCTTATGTCACTTTCCACCAATCAAACCAGTCGGTTGAACATGGAAAGAAGTTAGATAGATTTTGCTCATATTCTACTGGCAGCTTTTAAGCTTGACGTAGCCGCACTTGTTCTCAATTACAATACAATTTTATTTTTATAGCCCAATATCGCAAATCACAAATTTGCCTCAGAGGGCTTTACAATCTGTACAACCACGAAAAAAAAAGGGAAGAAACCGTAGGGAGAGCAATAGAGGAGGGATACCTCTCCCAGGATGGGCGGACGTGCAATAGATGTCATGTGTACACAATTAACAACACAATAAAATGTCAACATATTCAATCCATCTGAAAGAAATTATACATAATTTGAGGGCAAAAATAAGAGGAGAAATAATAAAAGAAAAGGATTACCACTGATAAGAAAACAGCATTTGCCATGGATATAATAGGATGATAATAAAAGCAGTACTAGTAAAGGACATGTGACTAATAACAATAATAATAGCAGCGGTGGGTGTCAGAAAGGGCCACGGTCCAGGTACAACCACGATCCACGGAGGCATGCTAGGCGAAAAAAAGCACAGTGACTCCCCGGGAACAGTACAGGCAAATTGTTTCGATCACAATGTACAATCTCATTTGGGGACTGCACCGGTTTGTTTTCCCTTTTGTTATGTGATAGGAAATGTGATCCTCGCGGTAACGATGAAACACACACACCGGCTTTCATAGAGCCTTAAAACACACAACTCATCTGTCAGACTCATGAAGTCGGGTGAGACGTCAACACTGGACGCTGATTGGATGCTAACGAGTCTGTTGCTGCTCTAAACGAGTATGTTGATGGTACCGAACATAGCAGGATAACTAAACACCATGCACACCAGACGTGTGGTGGTTAAACATTTTATTGTTTGCATTGCAGCCAGACTGCTGAGTAGTTGTGCTGAAAACAGCTGATTGTAACGTTTCCTCATCGACGTGGAAGCCAGATATCTCTATAAAGTACTCACAGCAGTGACACATTTCTTTGTCTACTGTATAAAATATTCCGGCTATCATTAAAATATTTCCAATTCGGTGTTAATTGTTACCTGTGGGCTTTTTTGCCGGAACAATCTGCACTTCAGTCGTGGGCGCTGCCATGTTTTTTCTCCCAAACATGAAACATGTGAGGAAGAGAAAGGCGAAACCAATCGATTACAGAGGTCAGTGGAGAGAAGTCGAGCACGGATGTAACCGATGTCACTGAACGGGACAGGAAGACAGGACCTTAGCGATAGATAGGACAGTTCAATGCGGCATATTTCTATGGGTTAACGTGCAATGTCCATTGTCCACGGTGGCAATATTACAATTTTAAAAAAAAAGACTTAAAGACTAAAATGTATATTTTACAGCCAAATCTGTTCTCTAAGGCAGTTTAAAGTACTTTACATGGGCCTGTCATGTAAAGAAAAAAAGGTATAACAAAACAAAAATAAACTGAAAGTAAAACATGAAATTAATAGAAATAAATTGAAATATTGTGTAGCCAAACATGTACACAGAGCGACAGTTTCAAAGTACCTGGCTACATACAAATAAAAAAACAAGAGTATAAGACAAAAAAGTAAAACATAACAGAATAAATATGAAATTAAAATAAAACATAACATGAAATAAAACAGGAAAGGGAATTTATGTAACACAATTAACTAAGTGAGGCTTGGGATAAAATGAATGAATAATTAATTAATTACAATTGCTAAAAAAACAACACCACATAAATGTAATTCAATTGAAAAGTAATCAACTAAAATGTGTAATGCAGAGAGCGAGAGGGGGGGGGGGCGTCAGTTTATCTAATGCATCAGTCCATTATCTGTAAGATATTGATTTGGGTGGAAGCTATTTGATCCATAAATCAGCGGCTTTCATTAAAGCTTATTCCCCCTGCAGAGTGAGCAGCATCACAGATCATGTTCCCCTGGTGTTTGGTCTACGGGTAAATATAATGTTGTTACATGTAGATTTGGTCCTGTTGTGTCACATCATATTTACTATGAAGACCTCGGGTGTCAGGGAGCCGTGTGTGTCTTGCCGGGGCAGACAGGGACAGAGACAGTGAGAGGGATGGAGCAGGATGCTGCCCGGTGGAGGTGCTGAGGCGGTACAACATACTTTCTCCCTCCTTGAGCGCAGCAACGAGCTCTGATCCATAAAGCGGACAGCAGAGAGATCTTCTCAGACAAGATCACAGAAATGTAACAATCGCGAGTCGAGCTGGAGAAAAAGAGGGGATTTTAAGGAAACCGAAGCCATCAAAGTCTACACTATTAAGGAGGATTTGAGGAGTCTGCGTTTATAATCCGACATCAGAGGCGGAATGTGAATCCACATAACTTGTGTTAATTAGAGATTTTAACGAATATGATGCGATTTGAAAGACTCTGAAGCACCGAGAGAAGAATTTGAGATTGGCCACTTGAGTTAAAATATCTGTGGTGTTTTTTTTGGGGTTTTTTTGGAGGGGGGGGGGGGGGGGGCTGCTTGTGTTCACCGTTGACTTGCCCCCAGAACTGATTCGCAGCCTCTACGGTAATTTGCGTCTAAAAAAAGGAGTTGGCTATCAGAGGTTGAATCGGACTACTGTGCGTTTATGCTCATCATACACACCGGAGTTGCTGTTATTTCGGACCGTGGGGATGATTTCAGTGCGTCCGTTCCGCGATGATTGTCGCCTAATTTCCCAGGTCCGACTGCGGTCTGCCAGACTTTGTGGAAACGGAGATTATTGTCTGTTATCAATGTTTATCAAATCCACGGCAGTCTGCGGTGCAACTCAATACAGTGGATCGCAAGCAAATCGTGAGGAGTGACAGCTGACATTTACACGACGAGCCACCAAAGCCCCTGATCAACTTCAAAACTGAAGCGCACAAGTTTTAAGTCTGGAATATAAGAATAGATGATTATCAGAGGACAGAAGACGAAATACACCTAAGCCTACAAAATGTTCAAAAGGGGTGAGTAACACTCAACTTTTCTCAGTAGCCTATTTAGCCTATAAGGCGAAGTGTGCGTTCTAAGGTGTGTAAATGTAATGCTGGTAGGCTACTTTCTACGCTTATGAAACAGATGTTTAAATATGACACATCCATAATGCACCACGTTGCCCCGCCGATGTGTTATTACAGGCGATGCGCCATTTCAAGCGCATCTTTAATTTGCAGAACAAGATTTATGGGAATTAAACATTTTTGTAAGGAAGCATGGGGACGTCTGTGTGCTATTAATACAGCTGATGCCGCACTGCAGTTTATGAGTTGTACCCGGGTCACAAGGCTATCTCTCCCAGCATTGCGCTCTGCTGAAGCATTATTATTTGCTGTGTGTCAGTACATCTAGATGTGATAGATCAAACCTCAGTTCACAGGGTTATTCTCCCCTGGCTACACACTATATGAACACTCAAGACCTTTGGCACCTCATATAAAAGGGGAGAGCTCCTCAAACTTTTGATATCAAGATTCCCCAGATAGATACACATTATACAAAAGACTCTCAGTTGATGATCTCTTGTCCCAAGGAACAGCCTCTTTCTTTCTCGGCTTTAATTGGCCATGCAGCTGCATTACTGTCTGCACTGGATGTCTGACAACAGTACGGAGAGTAACAACTCTAATCTCTAATGAGAATAGATTACAGTAATACATGCTCCCATTGTGCTATTATCGTGGGAGTGAAATAATCGTGAGAAACTGTTCTTCATTTTGCTGGAGCCCTCGGAGCGCCCATCGGGACCCCTGGAGGTCTCTAGACCCCACTTTAGGAACCACTGCATTAGACCAAGTCTTGTGTATCACTTTGTCAGGAGTGAGAACAAGCCTGCTCCTTTGTTTTGTTATTTTATGCAGTTCATATGAAGCAAAGTTAGCTTAAGTGCGACTCGTAAATTAAAACCTTGTACACACACATAAGCTGAGGCGTGCTTGGTTAGGGTCATCATATAACAATTGCTGCTTGTGTTTATGTTTGTTTTTATTTAGTCTGTCTTGTGAAAAACCATCTGCTTAGAGTGTGTGTGTGTGTGTGTGTGTGTGTGTGTGTGTGTGTGTGTGTGTGTGTGTGTGTTTCTGCTGGGAGCCTCAGGGGCAGAGAAAAACAACATGTTTTTCTTGCTGCCATCAGATCGATTATTGCTGTTCCAACAGTCGAGATGAGACACACTCCATGGTGATGAGTGCTTATAGCTATAACGGCTTTTAGGGAAGGCCTATATTGTCGAAACTGACTGCCTCTCATAACGGATCTATTTATCATTAATGAGAAGTGTTTCGTCTGGATTTTTTTCGGATGAGTCACGGTTTGCGTTCCAGAAGAGGCTCTTTACCGTTTAATGTATGAGCAAACATGTCTGTGTCCGTTTTGTGTCAACTAATGGATATGCTGGTAAATGCTACCACTGTTCATAATCATTATCATCAACAGATCCTCAAGGAGATGATTTCCCACAGCACACATTCATTTTCCATTTATGTTGAGGGTCAAATAGAGAGGTGATTGGCATTTGGGGATTTTGTACTCCAAACATGCTCCATCCCTGCTCTGTCCAAGGTATTTGTATGTGGATCAACTGTCTTACCAGTGCTGAACAGAAAATCACTTAATTCAAGACAAACGACTTCAAAGTACAGACTTCACCAGTCTGCCAAAAGTGCTCAGTATGCCAGCATGTCTGAGTCCACAATAGTGAGGCAGAGATGCGTCAGCGTTGGCAGGAACAGCGCAGAGGTTCTCTGGTGAATTTCAATTTTTTTGCACCTAAAATAACACATTCTAGGGAGCCTGGCTGATGCACCGGCCACAGCATTTACTGTCACAGGTCCACCATTCACAAACACATAGAAAGAAAGTGTATTAGTTGACACACACTGGCAGCACCTCCCAAATTGACTTCACATCATGGCCTGCTGTGCATAATTACCACGTCAATGGAACACGTTGACAGTGGCCTTTGGGTTCACACTTTGTCTGACAGTCACCGGCTGCTGATCTCTTCATCTGTGGGCCGTGAGTTTGTACAGGTTGATCAATGCTGCGACAAGGTGTGATCATGTCCATGCAATCCACAAATATGTCTAGACGTGTGCATTAGTTTGCAGCGCGTATTCAACTGCAGGTGAGACAACATAGTCCCCATATCGTTGTTTGAACAGTCAGAATGGTGTTTGTGATTCCGATTGTGTGTCTTCTCTATGGCTTATAGGACAACGACATGTGTGATTGAGTGTGTCTCTGGGCACATTTACCTAGCCTTGCAAGCATACACGTCACTCCATCTCTGTATTGGCTTTTTCCGTCTATCTGACTGTCTCGCTTTCACAATCTCTCTTTTCCTCAAAACCAGTCAGCCATGGAGTGGGCACAAGGGATGATCTGTCAGAACAGCTCTAAGATGGAACGGACGAGATGTCCACTGAATATACCGTGCTACCAAGTGCAGTAATTCCTGCTACATGATATTCAGGATTATAGGAGGAGGCTCAGCTGGGGCTCTTTTTTTTGCTTTGTGCCACCTTTTGGATTGTACAGTGTTAGACTGGTATGCTTCTCACGTCCTTGCTGAAAAAGAAACTTGTGAGACGAACATATGTACACATGTATTTCTATCACCATGAGGATGCTCTGCGATAAATGTATTGCTGACCTGATAGATTATCTCACTCCGATGGGCAGCCACTGTTTTCTATTCATTTCAGAACAGCATGAAGATCAATTTGCAGAGACAGGAAATGTGCTTGAGAATGTCACACGCGACATAAATTTGCCCTTGTTTTTTTAAATCCTCTACTACATCATTGTTGCATGACTACTCAAGGCCGAAACTATAAAAAAATCATTTTCTTTGGTGCTTTCAAGTACAAGTCAAAGTGCACACTACAGAGCATTTCAGAGCCTCATTCCTTAAATCTACATTGCGATGGATTACTTCTCTTAAGTAAGTTTTGAGTCTCTACAAGTAGATCTTCAAACTGTACTTGCATGAACTGAAACTGAAGGCTACCTGGCAGCTAGGAAATTACTCAAAACCTACACGCACTACTCTGTAAAACTAGTATGCAATGTAATATACTCATAATGTGTACTTAACAGGCTTAACCATGCAGAACCAGCACTACATGCATTAACTCATTGTGTGCGTGTGTGCGCGCGCGCACACACGCACACAATTATAGTAAGGTTTGCTTTTTGGAAGCGTCAGACTTGCAAGATAAGACTAATTGGGAAATGCATTTGCATTGACTTCATTTCACGTGATGAGCATTTTTTAATGGAATTTAGCTCAGAGAGAACAAAGGGGGGTTGTGAGAACACTACAGATCAGGCAGGCTTTATGTTTGTGCAAGCTGGCAAACACATCAGCAATGGTAACACTAATTACTTTAAATTTTGAACATTCTGTCATCTAAAACAAAACAAAAAAAGCACCACATTCAGGTCCTTAATCTTCCATCTCCAGTGACAGACAATATGCAGAGATAATTACTTGTAGTTATTATGCAATCTTGTAGCATTTAGTAATCATACATTGTAAATCAACCGCAATTAAGAGCACTGATGTTAAAGTAGCATTTTGCTGATGTTGTTTCCAGTGCTAGCAGACAGGGTTGGGGGCTTTGCCATTAATGAGTTCCGCACAATGAATGCAACACAAGGGAAACACCTGTGGCCTCTGCTCTTCAGCTTCCCGGCTGCTCACTTGTGCGGGCCGCATCTCATGGTGGCGTCAGAGCGGCTCTTCTGCCAACACAACTCCAATTCTGCTCTCCACAATATCTAATAACCGCACACATCAAGGGGCTGCGCTCTTCTGTCAGGGAAATGTTTTTAACCAAAGAATAATATGACTCACAGACCACAAGTGCTTGTTGAAGGCATAAAAACAAATGGTCTATCTTTGTTGCTAAACAAACAGAGGCTTTTCTTAATGAGGATACACAGGCAGCGCCCTGAAGCTAACCTCATGCAAGTGATTTGAAATGACTACGTGACATCGCACAAGAGCAATACATTCCCATCTGTCTCTGCATGTTGCAAACTTTGAGCCATCGTCAGGGTCCAGAGAGAGATCTATTTAAGGAAAATAGATTCCCCACTCATATTATCATCTTCCTAATCCTCTCGCAGTGTCAGCCTTCTGCTATCCCTTCATGTCAACTCTGCATTGTTGTACTTTTCAGCTTGTGTTTCTGTGCGTGTGAGAGGCAGTGTGGTCTGATGACTGAGGGTTTCGAGGAGAAGAGGTTTGACGAGAAGTGAAGAGGATAATGTGGAGAGGAGCAAAAGTATAAACCTCAAACTGATCCCCTAAATCTAAGCTGCCTGAAAAATAGAAAAGCAAATCTGAAAGGAAGTCAACATTTCTACTCCTGTCTGACACATGTTTAAAAAACAAAAATACCTTCTATTTAAAATGCTGGAATCGACTAATCAAGCATCGAGTAGATAAAGGAAAGTGAGATAAGGCAACCAAAAGCGTGAACAAATTGACCCATTGTGAAGTCTGTAGATCCATCCCAGAAAACACAGCCTCATGGGTAATTGACGAAGGAACATTACCAATTATTGGATAGCTGAGTCACATGCATTATACAGCCACACAATGCACTGGCTCTGTCAGTGCATTCCAAACATCTTATTTAGCCAAAGGAGATTGTTCCAATCCAAAAACTATTTATTTAGTGGCCCATACTCAGGAGTGTTTCCATGGAAGCCTCTGGCACAGTTTCGCTACGTGACACCTAGCAGAAGATGACAAATAATTAACAAGTGTGTGTTTGTGTGGAGACGACAGCACTGACTGGTGTGGATGTCACTTTTATTTTTATTTTTTTGCCATGAACTGTTGTTTTTTTCTTTCTGGGAGCCATTTTCACACTTCCCTTGTCAACCATTTCACACTGAATTACAGCATGAGGGCTCTGAGTTCAGAAGTGGATGCAGTGCTCTTATGCAGCCGAGG